AGCAGGAAGGTTGGACTAGATGATCTCTAGAGGTCCCTTCCAACCTTAAATATTCTGAAATATTCTGAAATAACAAGTGTATTTGTCGGTGATAACATAAGCACTGAGTCTGAGTAAGCTCGTCCCATAGCTGTGCAATTCCAGGATGAATTTTTAAAGCAAGCCAAGAATGGGCTGTTGCATGTTCTCCACTTGTACAGGAAAAACAAACTTCACAAATTCATTTTGATCATATGGACTGTAAGTCCAGTTCTGAATTTCTAGATTGCTGTTCGGTCCAACTCTAAATGAAAAGTTTGATTATAACTACTGTAGTCTTCTCCAAAAAAGAATAGTCTTCTCCATAGGGAAATGGGAGGTATTTCTCAGAAGGTGACTGTGAAAGGATTCAGTCACATGACTTAATCTAATCCAAACACTGACTGGATGGAATGATGAAGAGAGTTGAGAAAATTCTTTTCTGCTTTGACTCCTTTTTTCCCCCCTCGCCTTTTATCTGGCAATTGAATATTTTCCAGTTGAGTTTTAGAATTATGTCCCTGCCAAAYACGACAGCTTTTCAAACAGTCCAACACATGCTGTCTCAGTTCATATATTCTTATGTGTATACTTTTGTGATTTGTGGGGTACATGACATAATATTTTTTTGGAGTGCGGGGGAGGATGGTAGGTGTTACAGACTGGGGTAAGAAGGCAGATGTGCCCCTTGCACTTGACTCTCCTGTGTAAATCTTACTTTTCTTTCTTTGCTTTTTCCTTTTTTAATTTTCTTTAAAACTTTCTGCATGGTTGAAAGTTTGAATTTTCCATATTCTTTAGTTCCCTAGAGTTTCATGCAGTGCTGTATTTTTTGTGTCTATTTTAGGCTGTAGAAAGTGGAAAGAGGGTTAAATTTATTTTTTTTTTTTTTTACTCTCCTTGGGAGTTTATACAATGAGAGTAAACTGATTATGCAGAAAGTAAACAGCAAAATAAACTTTGAGATAGAAAGAACTGCTTATGAAATGTGCAGCCAGATTGTCTTTTAATCCATATGTAATGTATTTAATAGTATCAGTGGTGCTCATATTTATTTCTACTGGAATTGTTTTGTGCCTGCTATTTCAAGTACTTTGGGATTAAAAATAAAGTCCTCTATGTCTCTGAACTTACCTTCATCTTTTAAAATGTTAATATAGCTTCATGTAGTTCACTAGTTCAATGAACTAGTCTCAAGGGAGGCTTTTTGTTTGTGGTGAAATGAGAACTTAGTGAGAACTAGCTTTAGGCAGATGCGTGGCTCTTAGGTAGTTTCTTTGAATATTTAACTATCACAGAACTTAAAAATGATTTTATAAAATCAGAAGTGTTTTTATTTTGATATGCTTTGCAGTTACGTTTTTCAAAATAGATTTGAGGCATGTTTTGAAATTTGAAAAGCATAGAAAAATGCTAAGAAAAAAAACGTTCTACAAAAGACAGTTTTTGTCATCTTTTCAGTGTAGCTTCTTGAAAGAGACTTGGAATAAATCGTACTTCCTTTTAAACCAGATTACCCGCTTTTGCACATCTTTGTTATTTACTCTTACCTATTTTTGAAGTATGGAAGAAACGGGTAAATTATACACAGTATTAGTCAAAGAGAAGTATGCTCACATACTGTAACATTTGTATGGTGGCAAATGTAACCTGATTTTGTTTAACATATATTTTGTTTGCTGCAGGGACCTTATTAAGAAGCTGCTTGTGGTTGATAGGACAAGACGACTAGGAAATATGAAGGTCAGTATAAAATGCTACGTGTCATACAGAACAGGGCACAGGTTTGAAAGAAATATATAGGAAAGATGAAGGAAAAACTTTTTGTTCATTTCTGTAAACATGAAATTGAGATACATTTTCCCCTACCTGATTTTTTATGCTGTCCAAAGTGCAAAATTTAACTTTATTTCTGAAAATCTTATTCATATCCTAAGGATTAATCTATATATGAGTTGTGTACACACAGAGGTATGTACTCTCCTCCCCCCTTCCTCATTCTATCAATAGATTATAATTCTATATTGAATGTGCCAATTGAAACATCTAGCTATTTATTGATAGTTTTGAAGACTGAGCACTCTGTTTCTGATCCTAAGTAAGCTCCGTAGGAATGAGAGAATCAAAATGATTTGGTTCCTCATTTGGAGGTATTTAACCCCAGAAGGGTCACTAAGCAAATCTGGGCCTTCACAGTTACTTGCACATGTAGCTGTTGGTGTTGTACTGTAATGTGTGGTCACTTTTGTCCTTATAGCTTGGTGTCTGGGCTGATTAAGCACAGCCAAGTAGTTGTCTTTCTGCCCAACTTTCTTGTTCTTGCCATCATTTTGCAGGCACCTCTAGGTGYCTGGAGGAAGTAGCTCGCTAGTCAGAAATGTGCTCACCTGGGGTAGGTATCATCTCAGTCCACATTAGAAATATGTTTGTATCTGATTTGTCAAAGAGCAACCCAAAGCAATCCTGCATATTTGATCAGGTATCCTGATGAGGTACTCTGTCATATGCAAGAGGAGGAGTGTTTTATTACAAGTTCGTATGATTATGCAACTAAATTGTAGTCATAGTTAGTAGCAAGTGTGAGAAGTTGCCTGTTTATGAACTAGCACAGATCCTGTACCAGTCTGTGCAGAGCCACACAAAACCCAGGTTAATTTGCTCATCTAGCACAGTAAGTTAATCCTGTATTCATTGGCTTGAAATGATGCTTAGAGTATTATAGATACCTAAATCTCTCTAATCCTTCAGATGTTCAGAGACTGCTAACATTTCCATTCCCCTGGACAGAGAAGGGTAGAATTTTGGTGGTTATGTTTGCTTGTTTGTTTTGCCTAAAGCAAATTGCTGAAGAAGATGAAGGATGAACAGTTAGTTGCCCCGGATCCTTGACTTTATTGATACACCTGTAGGATCTAGAATTGAGGATTTCTTAGCCATAAGTTTGACACCATCAGCTCTCAGTTATTCTCCTAAATAGTATAAGAATTGGAAAACATGGCTAAATAAGAGACATTCTCTAAAACAGTGGAGAAAACAGAAATTAAGAGATCTGCAGTGAGTGGCTGAGCTGTGTACAACAGTGGTTTGATGGGATTTTCTTTGCTTGTCTGTTAGCTTCTTACCAGATAAGTAGCCAAATTGAGAGATTGGAACACTGTTGGTTTTATGTTGACCTGACACAAAATTTTCCATGTTTGTTATGTATTAAATAATCTTAGATCAAACTGTTATTTCCATAGAAACTAATTAATGCTTAGCCCACAGTGATATTTTCTATGGTCAAATGAATATTTCTGTAGTATTTTCTACAGAAAAGCCTTTCCTACAGAAGACCTTTTCTTGATCTTCCTCATATCAAAAGTAGCTTAAATAAAAAGTTTAAATTTCATGGATGTTATTGCTGGATCTCAGGACATGGTAGGAAGTGACCCTGTAGAATCTTTCACTGCTTATCACCTGAGAGAAAATACAGGGTTAGATGGAGCTTTAGTCTGCCTTGATGACACCATTTTTGTGATGACATACATATTTTGAAATATATGCAACTTCATTAAAAATGAATTTTCTTTTTTTCTTTAAAGAATGGAGCAGATGATGTGAAGAGACATCGATGGTTCAGGTCTATAGACTGGGACGCTGTACCTCAAAGAAAACTGAAGGTATAGTCTGAAAAATGTTATATAAGCCAATGCAACCAGAAATAATCATTCATTTAAACCACTGAGGATTTTTTCCTTATTGTTTGTATATGAGTGTATGTGATTATTTGTGCATATTATTAATTATATATATCCATTTTGCCATTTTGTGCAACAGAACTACAATAAACATCTCTTTACATGATGCATTTGCTTTAAATAAGTTTAAAAATGCTTTCTTTAGCTAATGTGCAGTTGATTTATGTTGCATACTCTCAGATTTAATTTGCAGTTCTTAAAATTTTGTAAATAAGTCTTGTGAAGTGTGTGTTGTATTTTGGGTTTTTTTTTCTGTTAAAAATCTGTAGGAATTTCTTCAACTCAGATTAATGATCCAATATAATAGAAAGCATATGGCAGTAGGAGGAAGAAGGTGAAAGGACTTGTGAATGTAATTAGATAAGATCTGATGTTTGCAAATGCTATCAACACCCTAAGATGTTTATTAAAGTCTCCTGAAGTAAAACTATGACAATGTGACATTTGAATGTCAGGTTCTTCTGAAAGCTCTTTCCATCCTTGTGAAGTCTCAGTTTTTACAGTTGAGCACTTTCTTTCCTGCTTAAATTCATTGCTAGACTGGGCAAAAGCATGCAATGCAGTGAGACACACACTCGCTCACACACTCGCTCACACACTCGCTCACACACTCGCTCACACACTCGCTCACACACTCACTCACACACTCACTCACACACTCACACACTCACACACTCACTCACACACACACTCACACACACACTCACACACACACACACACACACAAGCTGGTTATTGCAGCCTCTGTAAAAACAGTGGGTTTGAAGGAGATGTGTGAGTTTCTCCCCACTTCAGTTGCAGAGGTTTAACCCATGCTCCTCTTTAGAGGACTTTCTTCCCTTTAGGAGTAAGGGGCCTAATGCCCTTCCTTCTTTGCTGTTTGCTTTTTTGTCTGAAGGTGAGGCTAGGAGGGAGAAAGGGGGAGTGAGTGGCAGACTATACTATAACAGAGCATGCTTGGAACTGTAATGAATTCCCTTGCAGATATCTTTTATTTGCATAGCAGACAGAATTAAGAGGGCTAAGTAGAATAGGTATCTGTATTATAAGTGTCTTTCAACCACAGGCTACAGACTTCTTTCTTGTGCCTTTTGTTATCAATGAAAGTTGTGAATGTTCATAAATATGTATCAGTTTCTAAATGAATTTTTCACAGAGTTTCTTCTTGAATAATATGATGTCAAGTGACCGATAGAGAAACTATATTTTTGTTGTGCTTATTCTGATTAGCCTCCTATAGTGCCGAAAGTATCCAATGATGGGGATACATCCAATTTTGAAGCTTATCCTGAAGATGACTGGAACAAGACACCTCCGGTACCCCCTAAAGATTTAGAAATTTTCAAGAACTTCTGAATGTGACATCCACTGGACAAGGTATGGCCAGAAGTTCTCTTCAAAACATTTTAGCACTGTGAGTGAGAGCTTTATGCAGAAATTACATCTTCTGATTGATAACACTGGTTAATGCTTGCGTGTAGCTTTTAAAAACAGTGTGAATTGGGTCAGTGTATGAAAACAGCATAAAGTAGAGGAAATGGTTGAAATAATATATTGTTAAATATCATAAAGTTAGATCTACTGGATGACAAAAGCAATTTTTCTCTCAGGCTTTTCTTGTTCTACAACAATCAAGAACTCCACATACAGGCTTTTAAACCTTTCTATYCCTAAAATTTTTAAGTGATGTGCTTAAAGCAAAGAGCTAAATTGATAGATAAGCAAATGTGTTTGTTCTTGATTGCAAGATGTATGTATTAAGAACCAAAACTTCAGCTAGAGGGGAAAAAAAGATCATCAAAATAATTCTCTACCCTGTATTCTTTTTTTAAATTTGAYGATTAATATTTATCATTGAAGTTACCTGCTCTACATTGGCTTTTGTCTTTGTTATTGTTGTTGTATTAGAAACTGGAAGGAAACTGAAGTGCTAAAGCAAGTCTGAAGAATAATGAGCTTATGCCTAAATGAAGACTTCTTTGATGTGGCTGAGAATGTTGCTGCATTCAGATACACATACTAAATATTTAAAGAGTTGGAGGCAGACAAAACTCATTTTTAACTGTAAACATTTGACATTAGTTTTGAAAATTATAATATTGATAGCCTGCTCTATAGCAGGCTCACTAAAATGGAATATTTTAGATTTTCTTTTTTTAACTTATGGTTTTATTTAGTTTCCTGCTATTCTCAGATCCTTTTTGCGTGGTTATCTCAGACTTAATTTTATAAGTTTATACTAAACTTGTGTAATTAAAAGCACAAATTAGTATATATGTATATAATGAATACAGTACAGCTAAAGCACAGGAACTGTGCAAAGATGTAAATTTTTGTACTTTGCAGAGTCTATGATTTTTATTTTTCAGATAATGTTTTTCAAGAAGYTCTCTAGGGATAAAAATATTAAAAGGATAAATGATTTTTTCATCATCTTATATACATTTTATAATTCTTTGTAAAAAAATAAAAATGATTAAGTTTTAAGAAAGATTTGTACCTAAAATTTCCAATGCCTCACACCTGCAATCATAGTACTTGAAAGCAGAAAGACAAGGACGTATTTTACAGCTGATTTAAGAAACATCTGACTGACTAATTCATGAAGGTCTGTTACAATGATTCTTTTTACAAACCAGGATTTTGAGAAATGATGTGCTGTCTAAAATGAAATTCCTCATGTAAAGACTCTGTAAACATGTAATTCAGTGCATGCTGATGAAAGGGCTTGAATAAGTTCCCTGAGTAGATATTGCAGGAGCTGTTCTCTCTCTGAAGCTTCCTGTCATCTCCAAATTAAAACACGAGCCATATGTAGCAGCTTCTTGAAGCAATTGTTGAATGTTTGGCATCCCTCAATATCAGGGAGAAGACTGAGTGTGTATTAGAGCTGATCCTCTGCTCCACATTTAGAAATGCTCTGAAGTCTCTGCTGCCAGGAATTTCATATCTACAGAGTTGAAACCTCAGTTGTAAGGAGCCCCTCTTTGATCCTGTGCTAACAGCTTTCCATGTGGGGCTCTGGCAGATTGAGTACACTGTATTTAGGAAATATTTGCAATATTGCTTCCTTTTAAGTAGCACCAAATATCACTGTATSTGTATGTATGTAACTATGTATATGAAAACATAAAGATGAAGGTAGATTGTATACAAACGAGGATATATTTCAGGGKTTTTTTTTTGTTTGTTTCATATTGTGATACTCATGCTAATATAGGAAATGGATTTTGAAGAGCTTTGATTTCAAAACACAAATGCATTMTTTTAAATGTTGTGGGTTTTGATGACTTTTAATGAAATTGTTACATTTAGCCCTCACATATTCTTTCAAAAGCTCATGAGTTCCCTGGTCTCCTACTCAAAATTGTATAAGGAGATTATTAGCCCCACAAACAATTTTTTTTGTTGTTGTTGTTTTAAAATACAATAAGAAAACCAGACTAGTATTTTTTTTTCTAAATTAAATTCAGCATGCTTAAAAGATACATATTCTGGTAATAACTAATAAAATTACTATGTCCATAATCTTGTGACAAAGTTATAACTGAAGTTTCTTGGTAGAAAAGGTGCCTCTGTTTTGCTGTCAAGCTCTAAATAGCACAGAAGTATAGGACAATAGTAAATGTGCTTCAAGAGTTGCAATTTCTAGGTCATTAAATCTGTCTCTCTATAACCAGTACAGATTTGTAAGAGATTATATAATGGGTTTTGCATAACTGAAACTTTTATTTTTGTTTGGGTGACAAAATCATGATGCTTCAAAGCARTAATTCTGGAACATCAAAAAGCTGTCTTGATAATTTTAAGCAAATACCACAATTTAATGGACCCAGCTGCCACTCCTTGAAAAACGTATAAGAATATATAATAAAGTACAGGAAATACATAGGGAATTGTTAATTTAACATATCTGATCCACTGTATTTATATTCTTATATATTCCAAGTCAATTAGAAAAAAATCTGAAGTAAAAACACAACTTACACTGTCCAAAGGGAGCATGTACAGTTCTACTTTTTGATGTGTAAGCTTACAGTATTTTACRGAATCTGAGTACTGCAAAAATAGTTTTCTTATTTAAAGATGTATATACTRCAATAAGCAAGTATCCTAAATATCAAATTCTTTTTAAAACATGAACTATGTCTAAGCCTTCAAAGCTAAATAAATGAAGTTGCGTTTGAATAAATGTGCCACGTTAGTGGTTAGAAGTTTTGAATGCTTGAACAACAGTAGGTGGTGTTTYTTCTTTCTGTTTATGAATCTTATCCATTGCTGGCAGTGGATGCAGACACTCACTACAATAGAAAATAAAGAAGCAAATGAAATCTTATCAATAATGCTGGTCCACTGACTTTACATTGTTTCCACAGCCATGACTACATATACCTAACTATTGACCTCGTCAATATGCTTTCTAGTACAAAACTCCACATTTCTTTAAAATCTTCAACGGAAAAAATGTTTGAAGCGTAATTTTAATGATCAGTTATTTTCTCTTCAGTCTTGAACTTGATGAGCTGTAATTATCCACCCATTTTATTTATTTGCACAAGTGAGTTTTATTTTAAGTCTTTGCTGGAACTTCATGGACCACTCATGCAGTTCTGTCCCTGTGCTAAATAAGGAGTTCCCAAAAATGCACTAAGGACTCTGGATTTTTTTTTTTTTTTTTTTTTTTTTTTAAGCAAGCAGCTAGAACTTCTTTTTTCAAGTATGGTGTTCTCTGAAGTTAATTTTATTATGGTTTCTGTTAACATGTATTTTTGCATATAGACTGTTGCATAAGGACTGTTTCCTGTCAGGAGCCTGCAGGCCTTTTGTCTTTCTTCTGCTCTGGTGAACAAGAATGTTAAACATTAAAAAACAATCTTTATTTTTGAGTTTTATAAATATATATATATTTTTAATTGCCCAATTTGAGATTTTAAGTGAACAAATGTGCATTGTAAACACAATTGCCTTGTAACCAAATGGTAAAAATGCTTCATGATTTAAATGGAGAACATGCTGTAGATTTTCCTGTAAATTAGCTTGATCAATGAATATATGTGTGCTACTGAGCTTTAACTAATGTGATCTTCCACTGTAGAAAAGTCATTGTTAATTGATCAAAATATAGGTACTAAACTACGTTTAAATGGATGAACAGGGATTTTGCAGTTTTGAAAGCAATTTAAGATACGGCTGTTCCTCAGCCCATCCGCTTGCCATTCCGAAGAGTTGTGATRCAGTGCTTCCTATGCTATAGAATTATTTTTCAGCTTTCAATGACTGTAGCATGATTCCTTTTGTACTGTACTGTGTACAGACTTTCCATGTTTTGCACTTTTCTATGGCAAACCTGACTGCTCTATAAATACTTTGTGTAGTAAGTAGTGATAGTGGTAGCAAGCGTTGATGTACTACATAATCAATTTGAACTGCTAGACCTCCCAGGTTAACTTGGACTAATGTTATATGTTGCTGATTGCTTGTTGTAGCTCACATGTATAAGTACTGTTCAAAGTTACAAAGTCAGCCTCATTGCACAATGAAAATCACTGTGATCTGTATATAAACCCTAGTAAAATTTTATTGCTGTTTAATTTATGTAATACCTGTCAAATCTGGATTCATTTAATAAACCTTTATATCTTTTTAAATGTTTAAACCTAGTTTGCTTCCATTTTTTGTTGGGAGGAAGTGCAGATTTTTCATCCAAAATATTCTGATTGATAATCCTTAAGGTTGGAAKGGACCTCTAGAGATCATCTAGTCCAACCTCGCTGCACACGCAGAGTCACCYAGAGCACGKGGCACAGGGTGTCCAAGCAGGTTTTGAAGATCTGCAGAGGAGACTCCACAACCTCTCTGGGCAGCCTGTTCCAGGGCTCTGGCACCCTCACTGTCAAGAAAGTATTCCTTAAGTTCCTGTGGAATTTTTGGTGCTTCAGTTTGTGGCTGTTTCCTCTAGTCCTATCGCTGGCCACCACTGAAAAGAGGCCGGCCCCCTCCTCCTCACTGCCTCCCTTGAGGTATTTATACACGCTGATCAGGTCCCCCCTCAGCCTCCTCTTCTCCAGGCTGAACAGGCCCAGCTCTCTCAGCCTTTGCTCCTAGGGCAGGTGTTCCAGGCCCCTGATCATCCTTGTAGCCCAGAACTGCACACAGTCTCCAGATGTGGCTTTAGCAGGGCTGCATAGAAGGMCAGGATCCCCTCCCTCCACCTGCTGGCAACACTCCTCCTGATGCAYCCYRGGATCCCATTGGCCTTCTTGGCCACCAGGGCACACTGCTGCCTCATGGTCAGCTAGTTGTCCACCACGACACCCAGGTCCCTCTCTGGAGCTGCTCTCCAGAGGGTCAGTCTCCAGCCTGTACTGGTGTCTGGGGTTATTCCTCTCCAAGTGCAGGACCTTACACTTGCCCTTGTTGAACTTCATGTGGTTTCTCACTGCCCAGTTGTCAAAAGAAATTCTTATAATTGGTCCAAAGGAGAGTAGTGAGTCCAAAGGAGAGTAGTGAGGAAAAAAAAAAAAAAAAAAAAAAAACCGTTCCTTCCTTCCACAAATGGAAGGAAGAAATCGTTCCTTCCTGACACAAATGGTGGAGCACATTTCAGTAACTGCTGGCATAGGAGTGCAGAAAGTGTATTTTCCACTTCATTTCAGGTAGTACTGTCACACCAAAAAAGTGTTAACTTAAACTTGAAAGTCTGTGTTTGTAACTGGGTCAATGTTTTCACATTTTAATGACCTGAACACTCTCCTCAACCCCCATTTTATACTGCTTCATTCCTTTAAGCGTCAAAAAACCTGCTTACAGTGTCAGACACACAGAGCTGAACTTTTATTTCATCTCTCCTCAGGAATTTCATGTCTACATTTATGAAAATTGATGCAACTCTTAAGTTCACTTGTTTTATTTCTTGCCCACTAGAGACCTCTACCTTACAGAGACAATTATGTAGATGTATACTAGACAGCATCCATATGGACACTGCGTTCACAGAGTTCAGCCAGAAGAAAGAAAGATCAGACAATACCTCATATAGCAGCAGCCCCAGCTTGCTACTGTAGGTGATATTTGAAGGAACCCGCCTTTCCCCTCAACTGTCAGGGACTGTAAAATCCATTTACTGCAAATTTTACTTGAGGTGTGATATGCAGAATGTTTAGCACACAAGTTTAAGTTCTGATGCCACAGGTTTAAAGAACCTATTCAACTTCTTACAAGCTTTCCTTAAAGCAAAAGCATGCTTGCTAAAGCACACCATTTTAGACAGGATAATTGTACATTGAGAAAAGTATTTAAAGGAATCTTTTTTCTTTAGAATCTTATGGGCAGCTAATGACAGTCCTACTATTTTTCTTGTAATTATTATGGCAAATGTGAAACGTTTAAAAAAAATTCCTTCTGTACTTTTCTTCCTCATCTCTTTGTGGAAAAACTGGGTCCAGCAGTGGTGTTTTAAAAACATAATATAGCAATCTCAGTGATTAAAAGACATAGCTATACACTTTGAATTTAAATCCTTAATTTAATTATTCTCTCAAGAAAGGGCTAGAATATGGAATGCTTCCTTAATACTTTCTGTGATTGATCTTAATTTCTCAATTAAAAAAGTTTTAAATCAACTTAGGTCCCTCTTCCAACTCATAAGTATTTTTACAAGTTAGTTATAATGCTTGTTTAAAAAAGAGTGAGGGTACTAGCTCTTTTTAGTATGATGAAACCTTCAAGATAGTACTTTTTTTTTCACTTGCAAGCAGTTGAGCATTTTTTGTTAAGCTTTTATTCCGAGACTTGATGATTCAATTCTTAAGTGAGCATTTTGTCCTTGATGAAGCTTTTACCCATTTTAGTTGCACATTTTAGAAATAAAGACCTCTGGTAAGATAAGTTATTTTCTTTCATGWTAATAAAACTGAGCTGGTGGTACAGGTCTAAGGTGTTCTTAGTCCATGTGTATTCAAAGTTATTTTTCTGTTATTGGCCTCTCTCTTAAAGCGATTCTGAAGTCCTGTACTGCAACACTCTCTTGCTGCTGCTAACTCTGCCGTCACCTACATAGCAATAATATCAGCCCATTAACTCAACTGATCTGTGAGAAAAGTTTCCCTGCTGTGATCTGAACTTGGGATCAAAGGCACTGGTTCTACTCATTTGATGTGAAAAGGAGTTTTCAGTAACTGACTGCAGTTGAAGTGCTTATATTCTSTTTTTGCAGGTACTTGCTGTTGGAGAGCAAGTAGACTCTATTATGCTGTTAAGTAACCCCCGGCTCAAGTAATATGTTTTGAATCCAGTTTAATTCTTACTCCAGAGTCCTTGTGACCCACGTCACGTACAACAAAACTTGATGATGAAAGAAAGTTTTATGATGGACCATTTAAGTAAGTAGTGTTTAGAGTATGAGTTTGTTCTTTAATTTCATTGAAGATATTGAGAAAAGGGAGTTTTTTTCTCCCCTAGGAAGACAATCAGAATATGTGTGGCCATTACTGAGGATTTTTTTGCTGACCACTGGATTTGGGATGATAGGTGTTTTGGATCATGAAAACATCTGCAAAGTCTACTTTATAGACTCCACAAATTCTCCCGGTAACAAATTCTTTTAAATRTTTTAAATACTGTTTATACAGCTGGTGATAATTTACATGGAAAAGATGACAGATTTAAATTTAATACATTAGTTTGTTTTAAATTTWAATACTTTAATGAATTGACTTGGCAAATAAATACAATTTATGAATTCAATTTAAGAATGAGATGTTTAAAAATATTAAACCTTTTGATATAAAATATTTTAATATAGGAAATCGAGTAATATTGCTTGAACAAACAGGTTTCAGGAAGGTGGTCTGATTTTAATTCATCATGTGGGGATTAAAAGAAAAGATTGAATGAAAGGACATTTGAACTCATTCTCTTCTCCACCTACTTGTCAGAAGTTATACAAGGGGAGAAAAATGGTATGGCTTTTYAGACACAATGAAAACGCCTTACAGCAAGGGTAACACATTGCAGGGATTTCTCAAACTGTGACCCAGACCATGGAGAGTGATGCGTAGCTTATCCTCTGTTTTGTACTGGACAAAAAGTACCAGACTGCTTCAGGAAGAAGTCGGTGAGGGAAGGCATATCAAGGGAGGACACCTTTCAGCCAGGTTCCCCTCCTTCAGGTTGGACATCCAATCTCCAGACAAAAAATTATTACTTTTTGCCACTCATTTATCATTTAAATGGTTTTATATAGCTTTAAAGTCCGAGTCTTTGATGGAAATGAAAAACTTGTTCACTTCCTGCCCTCACCCMCCCATGTAAGGCTTACATAGAAAAGGAGCAGACAAGGTAGCACTATTTTTTTTTTCTCCATTCAAAATTATTAACTGTTAATATGCAAGATACTAAGTTTAATATGTATCATACAATTAAAAAAAATGCATTCAAAATATATTATGGTGAGTTCTGTTTCAGTATGATTTTCTTCTTCTATAAGTATTAGTCAAGGAAAATGTCATTGGGACACTAAGAATTCCAATACAAGCAACTTCTCAGGCTGTTCTGTGGTTTGAACAGAGCAGATGTGTATTTGTAGGTAACAAAGTTTAACAGCAAATAGGATTCATGAAGTAAAATGGTCTYACATGAAAAATAAATTATCAGTTTAAGAAACAAAATCCCATTAGTCTTACGGTGACAGATACAATTTATATAAGATTTTGTTCAGATTTCCAAGGAAGTTTTAGTCATCAAAKAATTGATAATATTAGTCATTATCATTTTCATTAAAACTAGACTAGATGATGACTTCCCGTGGCAGTGCCAAAATCATGAACAGTTCTAAAAAATACCTTTCTCATGATTATGTAACTTTGATTATTTGAATTTGATTATTACTTCTGAATACCTTCTTGTTTCTATTGTTTTTGTACTCTGAGTGGAGATTTCCTTCTACTACTTRGGATAATTCAATCCATAACTTCTTTCTCTCTGAATCTCTTTGGTTGCTCGTGGGTTGGCATAGCTTCAAGCAGATAAAAAGACAAAAACTGCAAGAAGATTACAGAAACAATCATTGAATTTTAGGACGTATGTTGTGCAAAAACTGTTTTTTTTGGAGGGAGAAGAGTTGTTTGTTTGTTTGTTTGCTTGTTTGTTTGTTTCTCTCCACAGGGTCATAGCATGATATACTGAAAGGAAAAGTACAATCAATCTGAAAATCGGGTTTGAGTTATGTAGTTTCATATATTGACAAAAAGTTGTTATATTTACCACCTTCTTTTACCTGGTTCACTTAAAAGACATCCATGGCTCTATTTTCCTGTGTTGTTTGGAGTGCTTGCTTCATATTCAAACTTGTTTTCTTGTGGCTCTAAGGGTTATGCTCAGTAGAGTTCACTTCTGTTTCTTCTGTTGAAAGATTCGTGGTCCCTTTTCTTCCCAAATGTGTTAGAAAACAGAGTAATAAGATATAGATTGAAATAGCAGATTGTTATGAGTCATATTAAAGACTATGGGAAATAAACCAAGCATACCAGATTAAAATAAAAAGAAAGAGAGAGAAAGATGTTATGCTAATGTCTTTTAAAAGTTTTATAGTAGCTTGATTAAGTTGAAACTCTTAAACAAGGCTTTAAGATCTGAAGCTTCTGAATCAGAGAAAATTTCTGCTATTAGGATTAGGTACTTCATGGACCCGTTGTATGTCAGTTGGAATGGGGCACATCAGTAGGTTGGAGAGTATGGAATCAGGCTGTAAGAAGATCTAGGTAAACCTAGATTTAGGTAAACCTTAGGTAAACCTAAGATGTAGATAAAGGAGTAAATTGAACAGTAGATTTTCCCTAAACTTAACAAATACCATTGCAACAATGTGTAATAATACATATTTATATGTGATAAGAAGGGGGAAAAGATGCTGCATAGTGTTTATTTTGTTCTCGCTATAGAACACTTAAAGCAGTTGTCATTTTGTGTAGGTTTGTAACTTTCAAGACTGGCAAAGGGACCATAAAAAAAAGTCTTTTCACRTTCCTTTCCTTTGATACTCTGTTCTTACTTCAATACGAATAAAAGCGAAAACATCTGAAAAAGCTCCCAACTCAAAAGTTGTCAAGAAGATAACACGTAAAATGCCAATTTTCCCTGTCGGCCACTGAATTAGTAAATTCATTATTTTTACAACTTTAACTTGAAGTAATGAGCTAAAGAGTTTGAAGTAATGAGCTAAAGAGTTTGTTTAGTTCCTCAAATATTTCTCAGATCCCACCAGAGAACTGTTTAACTTCTCCAGACTGAACAGGAGGTCTAACAGAGRTCTGAGGTGGTGAAATGGACTATAYAGCAATGGACTTGCCTGAGCACATCCATTTTACATAGACTGTTGCACACTGTAGCTCAGAACAAGCAAGCCCTTTTGTTAAGGTTGATGCTGATTTACCATTTTTATCAATGGCTTTGCACTTGCCATTTGAAGAAAACTGATTTTATGTCAGTTAGCTTATAGTAATCACTACTACCACATCCATTTCTGTGTGTAGAACCAAGTTTCCAGTAGTTCATAAATTTATTTACCTCAGAACTGTGCTAAATAAACCTAATTTTTGTCAAGTCTAGTAAACACAGGTGGCCTTTCTCTGAAGGGGGAATTGAATCAGCATAGGATGAAGCTCTTTGAAACCTGAGGGGCAGCAGGCTAGTGTGCTGACAGGTTGCAGGATGTGCAGAGTCCAAAGAGCTCAAGTCCAAAACATCCAAGAGCAAAGAGGATGCTGTTCAAAATACATCTTTGTCAAATAAAGACAGAAACTTACTTCCACCCTACTTCTTCTGTGGTGATGTGACAAGCTGGCAAATGATGAAATCTCTTGCAACATTTTTCTTGCATTTCCACCAGACACAGTTGTCTGGGTGATTCATAAATTTTAAGGAGCTCCTGTACAGCTAACTTGAGCATTGAAAGAGAATGTATGATCACACACACACACACAAAAAAGCCTTTCCAGCAATCACGATTGCAAGCGTGACTGTGCTTAACTTACTAGCCAAGCCTTTCATCTCATGCAGACAGGAATGGAGCACACAGCAAGATTTCTTGAAAGTGAAAAAGTTACGTTGGGCAGGAAAAGCATGCAAAGCAATAGCTGCAGCAGTTACTTATGTGTTCCTGAGTTGTGTGACACAGAGTTGTGTGACAGARCTAAAGACTTGTACCCATCTGCACCCCTTGAGCTTCATGCAAGCATCTCAAATATGCAACTAAATATTGCTCATGCAGAGCTACTTATGTCAATAGAGCAATTAATTCCAAGATTTTGTCTTTTACTAACAGAGAGAGTACATCTTCTTCCTTAACTGAAAATTGTATCATGGGGATTGGCCTGGATCTAATTGAAAACAGAGGAAGATTGATGCCATTTCCAAGCAATGTCTTGCTTGTGATATACTCATTGTACTTAGCAATTAGGTTATATATTTATAGTAATATCCTCTATTTCTGATTCCCCCTATTTTAAAATACTGTTAAGTGAAAAAGAAAAATATTCCACAAGAAGTCAAAACACATTTGGCTACTCTGGATCAATAGAGCATGAATTATTCTTGTGGTAACTGGAAGTTTTATAATAGTATATTCCAAAGTTGTTGTATTTGTTTTTAAACAATAGAAAGTCATTCAAGTGTTTCAGCCAGGCTTAATTCCAAACAGTCCCAAACTTAGAGGTAAAGAATTGATTTTGAAATGAAGTACAGGAAAACAAAAGAGTTTCCTGTTTGAATTGATGGGAGTTTGGACTCCTTTTTAGTTTACTTGGCAAGCTTTAATCCCCTATGAACTGTCTTTTTAGTCAAGGATCACAGTGTATCTTCTTCTTATGTGAAAACCATGAATTTATAATCCAGCATGTGTTGTAAAAAAGATTTTTTTCTTTAAAAGTGAACCACAGCACTGTTAAAAACATTTCAATGGCTCAATACTACTGTGTACAGAAGCAATTTCCACTTTGAATTGACTGTGTTTTGAATGTACTATGTTTTGCATTCTAATACTATTAAATACAACTTCAAAGGGATAATATATAGCAGTTAAACAYGGGAAGGGAGTTTGCACTGGCTTTTGCAGTGGTTGGGTGCTCACCCTTGCTGGGCATCAGGAATTCCTTTGAGACTTAAATATGGATTTAGAGGCTCCAGAGTTTCATGACCTAAGTCACAATATTTTTTTACTGTAGCCTTGTAAGTCCACCATAATCAATATATTAT